GCGTTTTCCAATCAGTCAATTGCTCAATCTATTGTTATAGTATAAGTCAAAATATTTCTCCGTAATCAAATATAAATCAAATAATAGAATGGAACTATGCGTCAAATATGCATGACTGCACTTACGCACGATTCAGAATCGTGCGTGATTGCACGATTTCTACATAAATAATTTCCTTCAACAGAGCCTAGAATAAAGATCTAAAAGAATGAAATGTCATTAGCAATTTATGTGCATTGATATCTAATTTCCAGGTAAATTATCGGAAAAATCAACAATAAATTTTTTATGCTATGATTTTATTTATAGACTCACTATATTAAAATTTAAAATAACCACATGTAACGACATACGTAAATGAGTAAAGAAACGTTTATTTAAGTATTGTATTTAGTTTCTATTGAACAATTATCTTTGTGTATAATTAGCTGTAAATGTTAAAGAATCACTTGTTTAAACAGATGTATGTGATAGTATCTCATTAAAAAATTCTTGTTATTCATAAGTTTATTCATAAACTATTCGACAAAATTGAGTTTTTTTTTTTAATTCTTACAATTTCGCTCATTTCGGACAGGCCTGAATTACAATGGTATCGACCGGCATAGAAAATTATGCTTCTTGAAAACCATCAAAAATAAATCTTGAAAATCGGATTAAACAGCTATTTTCCTCAAAACGGGAGAGCATTTTGCTTTCTCGGGCATTCATCATCGCTCGGCATATATTGATGATATTTTGTTTATTACTAAACACATTTCAAGGCAGATAAAAATTCATTAAATATTTATAAAAAGTTTCCAAGATAGTGTTAAATAACATGATAATTTATTAGCTTTTCATCGATTAATAAATAAATATGATAAAAGAATTATTAAGTAATAACTGCAAAGAATAACAAATATAGTATGTGTATAGTATAATTAGTGAAATGGACTTTCGCCGCCGTGACCATCGAACAATCAGGTAAGTCACGACATAACTTCAAAACATTTTTCCAAAAAGAACTATTCTGTTCTAACGGAATGAACGCCGCCAAATTTTATCCTAATTACCAAGGAGCCCTAAATTTCATTATCAATAAACACCAGAAAATTCATGACTTATAGCCTATTCTGTAAATATAAAAGAAACTAATGAACGATTGTAACTCGGTTCAATATATACTATTGGTCAACATAGGACGAAGTTGCGTGGGACAATGTTTTCCATTGTCCCACGCAACTTCGTCTTATTCTGAGCAAAACTTAGCCAAGTTAGCAACTGTGTCACCTTGTGGGAGTGCTAATCCTGTGTTGTTTCAATAGTTTGAAGTTTCTTGCATAATGTATGATGTTCATTTTTATAGCTTGTGCCCGCCTTTTGTATATCTAAAGCCGCCGCTACCACAGAGATCAAACTCTCTACGTAACTAGAAATTACTACGTTATCTGTCAATATGCAACATTATTTAAAATTTTTAGTAAATTAATTTACTTTTAAATGTAGTAATTGCATTAAAGTATATATACTTAATAAAACTTTAAATGTGCGTGCTTAACGAACTCAAATCAAAAACAAACAAGTTTCTGGATTATCCGAAAGACCCCTGACCTATGAAATTCGGATAATCGAGTTTTCACTGTATCTTACAAAAGAACATTATTTTTCTTTAAAAAAAAGGTTTGACGATTTCTGCCTTGGAACTGACCGAAATATCATTCCACTGACAAAAAAAAAATGAATGTTTTGGTCGATACAACCGAACCAAATTATTTTTCTATAGACCTATATTAATTTGTTATGTGATGCATAGCAGTTAACGCGTTATGGGCATTTTATCCGGAATCGAAAATCAATTCCGAATATAATGCCCATAATATTTAAACAGGACAGATCTGCAATAGATCAATTGATTCGATATTCTGTTTCTTTTTTTTTTCTTCTTTTTTAACTATTTTCGTCTTGTGGACACTAAGAGGGCTTCTTTTTGCAAGCCCATTGTGAGTTCGGCCAGGATCACAATGGGGCGGCCGGATGGTAAGGGACTACGAGGTCCGACATATCCGGATGGACCCTCCCCGAAAAATTCCTGGAGATTTTTTGACCCGTACTTAAATCAAGTGACGCCTGTAGTAATACAAAATTAGCAAAGGAAAATGTTTTTGCTAATTTTAATTAGCAATGAAAGCATCAAAATTATTCATTTTTAAAATCAAAAATGAAAGCAATCTTTAACAACTAAAGCTTTTTGTATTTTCATTTTTAATTATTTTCACTCTATAGGCAATAAGATAGATTTTTTAATGCCCATCATGGATTCGGCTATGCTCACAAATGATATATTTGTGAGCATATGCCGAATCCATGGCCATTCCCATAGCCGAATCCATGGCCAATCCCATAGCCAATCAGTCCAGGGTATGTCGAGCTCTACCAATAAAGGCCCAACATACACTGGACTGATCGGCCATGAAAAATTTTTAGGGAGTTGCTCACTCGAATTCGATTTCCTGTCCCCGAAATGGTTGACTGACGCCTGAATCGCGTCGGCCATCAGGCTGCCGACAACTACAGGTTAGCATATAAGATTCATTATGAATATTTACTTTATTAACAAGAAAGACATAAGTCAAAACACTCCAGAATATTTTAATATTAATTTAAAATCATAATATTTGTTCTGTTCTGTTTCTAATGTTTAGTTATCACTCGCTATATAGCCCATGCATTAAAAAACTTAGTTAAAGAAAAGACTATCGTGAAAAACGGGATAGAATCTTTTCTGAATACAGATCAGGATTCTTTGATGGTTCTTATAAAAAGCACTACTCGCCATCTGAATTGCGCCAACGTCCAGACTGTTAATATACAGTACTTCTAATTGTTCTCATCAGCGGCCGAGTGGATAAAATCACTTAACACTGGTACTTGGTCGCGGGTTGGAGTCTAACCAACAGGCTGGAGTACCGGATGGCGGGGAGGTTAAGGTGTCAGCCTACATTTCTGAGGGACCCGGAATCGAATCCGGACGGGTCGAAAAAGCCCCAAGAATTTTTTTGATGGTGATCCGACCAGATATGTCGAGTTTCATTCCTCATTACCCCGCCCCGAACCCATAAAGGGACAGATAGAGTTAAAAAAAATAAAAAAACCCAGTGCACTGGCCGCGTAAAGTTTTCGGGTTTTCTTTAAGTGTCTAACACCTAAATTGGACCAGTTCGCCGTAGAAAGTTCTCCTAGAGCAGGGATGGCGAACCATTTTGAGACTGCGTGCCATATAGTAAGCATACTTAGCTTTAAAGATGTTTGTGTGTGCCAACGTTTTAGACTTCAAATAACGATATTTAAATAAATTAAACGAATGTGATTTAATTAGAATAAATGTAAAAAAACTGATTGAAAAAAGAAGGATCGGGTGATAAACCGAAAGGGTGATTTAAAAAGTCAGATGATAAATCGAAATCATATGATACGTTACGTGCCACTTTGGGCACGCGTGCCATAGGTTCGCCACCCCTGTCCTAGAGTAATCTCTTCTTGACAAATCGCTCGTGTGTTGCGCTGAATTATCCCATCCATCCAATCCACTCTAATTCCACCAATTGGTCTTATGGCCGATCTCGTTAAGGCGCCCAGCGCTCTGGAGAATCAAAATCGAATCCAAGTGAGCAATCATAGAGAGTTTAATGGGCGATCTTTCCACGGAATATGTCGGGTCTCATCCCTCTCCACCCAACTGACTGTATTTTGGGCCACAGAGCATTCTTAGTGTTGAAAGAGTGGAGAGACAAAAGTAAAAAGAAAATACGGTATCAATTACTACTATAAGTGCAGAAAGGGTTTTTAAAAATAATCAAGTGATAAAATTTTGATGATAGAATTCAATGATTTTTCCGTCTTGAAAAGCTTCTTAAAAAAAAGAAAGACAGAAAGAAAGACTAAATTCATGAAAGGCATAAATATAAAACAGCAATTTACAAAAGAAAAAAAATAAAGATTTTCAAATACAACTTTTTAAAATTTGTTTTGGAATTGTTAGAATATAAAATATTTCTTATACTATTGTTTTTCTTATAGACTACTTTAATATGATTTAATAAACCTACCGTTCTAAGGAACTTGCATCGCAGATTGTTTTGAATCTAGTTCGTATTCTTCGGAATTTTCGTGAATTGTCTGGCTAAGATATGTGTAAAACCCCATCATTATTCGGCCATAACGTACGTTGTTGAATGATAATGAATATGTTAAGTACTGTAAACTGTTTTAGTGTTTTTAAGATAAGAAAAGTAAAATGATTGAATGAATTGTTTTAATTTTAAGATTTGACATAATTATAATTTTTCTATCACTAACAATTTCTTTCGTAGAACCTTGAATTAACTTTTGTAACTTTTCCATATTCCTTGGATTTGTAAAGAAATCTCGTATTTTTAGTATCGGTAGTATCGTTCCGTATATATATAAATATATACATATATGATCATCACATAAATAATTATAATGTAAAGAAAAACAAAAAGTAGAAAATATTATTTATGATTTTTCCTTATTCAGAAGTCAATAATTGAGCTTATAATAAAAATAAGACTTTCCTATACAATTATGGACAGTTCGGAAACGGAAGAAGTGATCACTGATCCTATATCCTGCTGAGGAAAATTAATGTTTAGTTCTGAAAGATTGCTTTCATAGGAATTAAATGACGTCAAACCGTTAAATGGTTACAATTATTTATTTTTTATTTATTTTTTTTTGTTTTGTTTTAACGATGGATTTTACAAAGCAAGTCAATCATTCATTGTTTTGTAGTACATAAATTTCATTCTCCGAATGATCGTAATATGGATAAAATAATAAAATCAAAACTGTAATAGACAAGCCAACGTTTAATAATATTAAATGAATACATCGAATAGCGTAACATGTTAAAATATTTGAAAAGATTCCCGTACGAAAGAAATCGTCCCGAAAACGCGGAGTGATACATATATCGCGATGACGTCAAAGTCCCACCCGTGAACTATTTACCAGTTTCCGCTGTTATGTGAGCGGGCGTTGTTCGTTCGTTAGAATCGAAGAGGAATGCGGCCATTTTAACGGGCGGGTAGGCGATAACCTGATTTTTCATTCGAACTAATACTGAAAACGTACGGAGTGTACATATATTTTAGTGAAACGATATCACGAAAGTGCATTATATAGACAATGGCCGAAAGAGAAGATAACGTTTACAAGGCAAAGTTGGCCGAACAGGCCGAACGTTACGATGGTAAGCCTAACGGTTTCATCTTGTTTTTTTTTCTAAATTTTACTCTAACAAACTCGTATTTGTTATACAAACGAATGAAATATTGTAAATTCGATCAATTACTCGCGCATTTAAGATCATTTCTACAAATCTCGAAGAATTTACCGCATTTAAGGTTTTAACGTTAGGCTTAACGACGCATAAATCGACAGAGGTCAAATTCTTCTTTATGTCGAGTTATGTGAATTTTCTTATGGGAAAATGCTGTAATTAAGCGTTGATCAAATGTAAAAGTTGCTTGTGTTTAGTAATACGTCTACGTCATAAATAACTGTACACACTTAGTGTTAGGTAAATATTATTTTAACAGTATTGTATATATATTTATGAATTACAATAGTATTTGTTATTGATCTTGCAAAATCATTGCATGTGATATGTAAAGTACACATACATATACATATGGTGTGTTAAAATTTTATATAGGTTAATATGTGTATGTGTAATTGTGATTTCCTTACATATTATTACAAGGATTATTATTAAAAAGAGTAAAAGTATTAAATTCAATTTTTTAATTATTAAAGAATAGTCAGACTGATTTTTGTGTAGATTTTACTGAAGTTTAGTTACGAAATCACAAATAGTTAAATTTTTGGCACTCGTGCGGTTTAGGGGGTATGGCAGTTTGAAAGGTTTTCTTCCATAAAATTAAGCAATTCTAGACCGACTTGAATGTTTCTGAACATTCGAGTCGGTCTAGAATCGCTCGAATGTTTGTGAACGGTTTGTATAAAATGTGCCATAAAATAAATATTGCAGGAATATTTGCTGCTCTGCAGCGAAAACAAGCTTGAGCGGTGGTGTCTTCGAATGGTGCATGCTCTGTAAGTATTTCTGCAATTTTTTTGTTTATTGTGTGTTTTATATGGATCGTTCCAAAAAATTATACTTGTTTTGGAAATATTCGAGGGAAGTTAGTTTAGAATCTCATAATTTTTATGGGAGAAAACCTTTCAAACTGCTATATCCCCTAAACTGCACAAGTGCCAAATTTTTTACTGGTTATACTTTAAAATATAATGTTTTAGTTTATTTATGGATTACAATCTTAATATTCTAAACTAATAAAACTTAAATAGAAAACAATTTTTTTTTTAATAGATTTTATATTTAACTAATAATTAATCAAGTCAGCTATGATATATATTGTTTAAAAATAAAATTGGTATTATGCTGAAAGTTCAAAAGTAAAACAATATACTGTTGCATCATATTAAGAAATTCATTTGGTTACTATTAGTTAGTTTTTTTTTTAAAGATTACCATATAAAATTTACTCTGTAATATTATTCAGAAATCAAGGAAATTTAAGGATTATTTCAAATTTATATAAATTTTAATATATAGTTAAGATTGTGTTTACAAGATTTGAAATTATAATTTCTTGTGAAATAAATTTCACATATATACAACATATGATACATATTTTATCAGAAATGGATAAGACATTAAAACTTCTTTATGAGAATTGTCATATGATTTGATTAATAAATACTTGATCACAAAGTTATCAAATTTAAGCATTCATTACAGAAAATTTCCTGTGTATAATTTATGAAGAAATTATCTAAAATTAAAGATTGAAAACAATTTTGTAAATTTGTAATTTTATTTTTATAAAGTTGATATTTATTCTTAAAAATGTTGAAACATGTCTCCTATTAAGATTTTGTCGAAAATAAAACTGTTAGAAATGATAAATTGCATCATATTAAATGAAATTTGAAAATAATGTAGCTGTATTATATTGAATTATTCAAAAAAGTTATTTTTATAATAATGCTTATAATAGTTTTTAATAAGAAGAAAAATTGGTGTCTTAAGTCATTAGTTTAGTTATTTTCATGAGAATATTTTAATTTTGCTTTCTCTGATCAATTTACTTTCTTTGAAAACATGTAAATTATTAAATCTGTCTCTTGCATATAAAATGTTTCATTATTATGAATTATGTCATTATTCAAATGAAAAGCTAGATAATATTTAGACATCAGTATATCTTATAAATTCTGGGTACTTACTGGTAAGCAGGGGTGCCAGCCAATTGATGCAATCTAACTCTAACCTAAACTTAAAACCTAACCTACCCATTTGGGAAATCCTCTCTGAACCTATTAGGGTGCGACTATGCAGACGCAAGCGAGTGAATTTTCCGACTGAGCGGGAATATGTGGCGAGAAGAGGCGAGACGCGATAAATACCAAAACTTGTCAGATATGTGTGAGTACCAGAAATTCGCTCTTGTCAGTGTTATTTCTCGCTTCTCGTTTGTGCATGGTTTTCCTTTGGGAAAACTAAATCGCTCGCAACCTCTCGCTCGCTCTAATTCGTGTCTGCATAGTCGCACCCTTATCAACCTAATGTGAGTTGGATCTCATCAATTGACTGGCACCCTGCTAACCAGAAAGTACAAATTTCTGTACAATTGTCACAATCTATCTGAAGATTGTGACAAATTGTACAGAATTCAGGTACGCTTAAAGGCTTGTTCAGACACATTCAGTAATTTAATCGCTGCAAATAATGTAGTTAGCATCTGCAGACAGTAGTCAAATAGTTTAGTGAAATGATTTAGTTCAGTAAATCCATTCAGTTCTACTTTTCTGGTTAAGTAACTGCTTCTCTTACTGTCACTAATGAAATAAACATGCTCAAACAGGATTGTTTTTATCGGAGTTCATTAGCTCAGTATTTCTTATAGCATTTGTTAATCAGTAGTGGATCCATAAGTACCCAAAGGAGAATTAACTAAAAAAATTAAAAATATTAGCATACTTAATAAATATCAACTTTTATGCCTTTGTGTCCTTAACTTATATATTTATGCTTAAATTGTCAACTAGTGCTTATTATACTGTATACGAGTGACTATGCTGGCTTCGAGTAGACCACTTGACTATTATCCAATATAATAAGTCCTAGTAATAAGTTAAGTCCTAGTTGACAATTTAAACATAAATACTTAATAAATATCAACACCAAACGATCGCCTAATTATCGGGCTACAATATGGCTATTCATATAATCATTTAAAATAGCCATATTGTAGCCCGATAATTAGGCGATCGTTTGGTGTTGTTATTATCTACTCGGGCTGTGAGTTGATGTTTATATATTAATAAATATCTTTTTTATTAACAGGTGTGCAATGATTGTATTGATGATTGATAAATCATAATTGCCATCAAATATTTTTAAAAACATTTTGAAGTTTAAACAAAACTTTTTTTTTTGATTGGAATGACTTGTGTCCCTGTGGCCATCTTGTATCTTTGTATCTGCCACTGTATTCAGTATTGCATGAATACATTGGGACCAGGTTTTTCTCATTTTCTGGTCTTTTGCTTGTCCTGGGATTCTGGGATAAAAGTGAACTGAATCCCGGGATAGAATTAATTATTTTTAAGTAATACAAAATATCATGAAATCAAATGATATAATTATTTTTTGTTTTTTAAAGTAATTTAATATGTTCTGCAACCTCCAAAATCATATTAATAATGCTGTGTAAGATATATATTAAAAATTACCTTTGAATTACATAGAAATTTTCACAAATAGAAAAAGTTTATTAAAGTTTGCTGGAAACTGCATACAACAACAATAACAAAAAAATGCATTGAATTGAGTTGAAAATTAAAAAAAAATGAACTTAGATCAAACTTTTAACTTAAAAGGTAATTTTTGTATTTTAAATAAAACATAATACAAAATATTATCGTAAATTTTTTATAATAAGATTTTAGAAAGCAAAGATGGTCAATACTCCAATCACTCGATTTGTATTTTAGTAATGAAAAGTCCTGCTACCGAGAATGCCCTTTCCGATTCAATTGATTCGAGTGGAATTCTGTCTTCTCTTAAATGCATTAAACACATGTTATGTGTTTTTTTTGCCTGTAGCCTGGAAGATTTCTAGTTTGTTTTTGAGATTGTAGTACTTTTCTGGCTCTCTAGTATTCTTGATTTGCCTACTTGGCTGCTTTAATAGAAACATCAAGCTTATAGTCCAATAATTTGGCAGTTCGTTTGTCTTTAATAATCAGGTTTATGAAGAAAAACTTCATACTTGCAGACTTCATACTCGTTTGTATCCTTGCCCAATTTGCACAACTTGGCATTATGCAGTTATTGAAGCTACTGGCATGATTAAAAATTAAGACAGCATAAGCACAATTATTCCAGATATTACAGGTTCTGACAAGTAAAGAATTTTCAGAGTCCTGCCACAAATAAGCTACATATTGATTATTGACCATTTGTGACATGTCATAATGAGCAAAATTTAAAAAACTAATAACTAGGTTTAAAATTAATTAATACAAATGTGTTCTGACAGTTTTAGTTAATTATATTTTCTTTTTGCAAAATTTCCTCTACCTTAACTCAAAATAAGAAAAAAGTGAACTTTTAAGAAATTTGTGGAATTTCCTGGGTTAAAAAAACAACAGAGATCCCGTTTGAGAAACCCTAGTTGGACTAATACAATTGAGCTTGCTGCATTGCATGCTAACTGTATTAGTCCCAGATACTTTTATGCACTAAACAATTTAGTATTAAATGGCTACTAACCACTTGATTATTGAACAAACCTCAAAAATCTTCTTGAACTAAAAAACTTCTGAGAAGAATTGCTGTATAAAGTATACACATTTAGCAATTGAGATTTCTGAGAACTGTATAATCTTGGTAATTCAATATATATGGAACCAGAACAGTGTTAGATTGTTGGATTATTGGAAGTAAGGTGAATTCAGTGGTGTAATTATTAAGAAAAAAAACATTTGCTTATATGTGTGATATTAATACATTGTATTATTCAAAAACATTCTTTTCTATTAACAGGATGCCAGTTATAACTTTAATCCAATGTTTGATACCATCATCTGCATTGCTCTGCTAAGACTATCACGTTTAACTATTTAGCCCAAGTGACTATGCTGGCTTTGAGTAGCCCA